GCGGGGGCACCGCGACCCCCGGGCTCGCGGGCACAGAACTCCCCGTGCTGCCCCGCAGCCGGAGGCGAGGGCCAGGAAGGGGCCGTGTGTGGCCAGCGGTGGCCCCGAGGATGGGCACTCGGGGCCGGCGCCTGTTTGCCCCCCAGCACCGGCAAGAAGCAGCAGCCGGGAAGATGGGGAGCCCCATCGGCATCCGGGGGGCAGCAAGGGAATGGGAAGCACAGCTCGCCCCCCGCATGAGCCCAGTGAGCCCCTGGAGCCTTCCTCGCAGCTGAGGACCAGCACCCCCATTCCGGGCACCCACGTCCCTGCTCCCCCCCCTACCAAGAAGGCCTGCGCCCAGGTGCCTTGCAGGAAAGCCCTGTTCTCCAGCGGCAGCCGCCAGGCGCCGAGCCAAGGGGTCCCGGGCCCCGAGCCGGGTGCTGGCAGCGCCTCCCCTCCGCAGCCCGGGGGCACGGCGGGGCCGGCCGAGCGGCGGGGTCTCCGCAGCCCCAGGTGGCTCCCGGGGAGCCCCCTCCGTGCCTTGTCCACCAACAACTGCAACAACACCCACGGGCAGGACGCGCCGGGGACGGGCGGAGGTAAGGGACCCACGCGTGGGGTGCTAGGGGGGGTCCCCAATGAAACAGGCGTGTGACTGTCTGACTGTTGGTTGCAGGGACACTGTCACACCCCGCTGCCAGCCCTGTCACCCCCGTGCCCTCGGAGGCTGCTCATCCTGCGGGGGAAGGTGCCGGGATGCCGGGAGCGCAGCCCCAGCCGCACCCAGCCGGGAGCGCGACACACGGGTGAGTGAGCGGCCGTGGCATCCCAAACCACGCAGCCCTGAGCATCCCTCCTGGGCACTGCAGGGCTGAGCTCCCCGGCTCCAAAAACCTCCCAGAAACCACAATACGGGGGATACAACGTGCCCGTGCCTTGCTGTGGGTTTGGGAGAGCTGCGTTTCACCACAGCTGGTTCTGCCAGGGGTGTTAGAGCAGATGGGAGAGGCGTTTCGCTGGTGTCGGGTTCTCCTCTTTTGAGGAAAATCAGGCGATCCCGCCAGCCCCGTGCCTGGCACTGCACGTCTCAGCCTGGCAGGAGAATTCCAATGTGGTGCTGGGTCCTCTGAGCCCATTGGCAGGATGTGATCCCTTGGGGCAGAGCAGGGGACTTCTGAGGGGCGTTGAACCCCTGAAGTAACGGAGAAAACAGGGAGGGAGCCCTTCGGGTCACTTTGGGTAGTGACAAAGGTGCGTGTGCGGGGTCACTGCTGCAGGGAGGCGGCTGCCCCCGATCTCACCAGTGCACCCTGATCTCACCGTGCACCCCGATCTCACCAGTGCACCCCGATCTCACCGTGCACCCCGATCTCACCAATGCACCCCAATCTCACCGTGCACCCCAATCTCACCGTGCACCCCAATCTCCCCATGCACCCCAATCTCCCCGTGCTGCAGCTCTCAGGGCTGCCAAGGTGGGTGCAGGATGCACCCCCAGCCCAGAGGCCGCTGCAGGTCCTGCTGCCGCCCCAGCCACGCCGTGTGTGACCACCACGCCTCTCCACCCAGGGAGCCGGGGCGGCCCGTGAGCCGCAAGGGCAGCAGCGCTTCGGCGTCGGGGCTGAAGAAGCTCCTGTGCAGCCTGAGCCAGAGCACCAAGCAGCGCCTGGGCCGCTTCCGCTGCTACAGCATGGAGCAGCTCCCGGCCCCCGGAGGCTCCCCGCCGGGCGGCCCCAGCGTCAAGAAGTCACCGTCCCTGCAGTCCCTGCAGCTAGTGAGCTTGGACATCGCCCCATGCGGGGAGTGCTCACGGGGAGACAGGGGTGGCACAAGGGAAAGGATGCTGTGCTGGGATGAAGTATTCCCCAGTACGGATTTATGGCTCGGGCGGTCCTGGAGGGGTGTGGGGGGATATGCCACCCCAAACCTGTTGGGTGTGAAAAGCCTGGAGCCAACTGGGAAGTGGAAGGGGAAGGAGGGAGAGAGGAGGGGCAGTGGAAGAGCAGATACGCTCGTCCCTCCTCAGCAGTGAGTTGGGGAGTGCTCCAGCGGGGCGGGATGTCCCAATTTCCTCCACTCCCTCGGCACATCAGTGGGTGAAGCACAATGTTCGTCCCCATCTCAAACAGGTGTTTCTCACCAGGTGTCACCCTTCTGCCAGCCCCAAAAAGCTGCCTCTATCCAGAGCCTGCATCCCCAGCTGGGCAAGGCACCCCGTGCCAGTGCCTACCTCCTGCCCCAGACCACGGCTGACAGGTAGGATGTGGCCTGGCACATCCCTGCGGTGCCCAGGAAGGCTGTTCTGGGGTGCTGTGGTGGCTCAGTGCAGCCAGGGGCTGCATCACCCGGTCTCCAGCAGCTTCCCTGTTCCCCACTCACCCATCTTCCCTCTCCCCACAGGAAGGGGGGCTCAGGGCCGCAGCGCTCGCTGAGCGTGGAGGACATCGGGGCGCCCGGCCAGCTGCGCGCGGTGGGGCGCGTTGTCGAGGTCTTCCCTGATGGCACCAGCCAGCTGGAGCTGCAGCGACCCCCCGACGGCGCCTTCGGGTTCTCCGTCACCTCCGGACACGGCCGGCCCGACACAGGTGTTGTGGGACCATCCCAAAGCTTTGGCACACCACGGTCCCTCCAGGGTGGCTCTCGTCCCACCCCGGGGGCGAGTTTGAGCACGGGTGGAGGGGGTTGCTCCATTGCTGCTGAGCCCCACAGAGGTGATGAGGGTGGGGGGACACTGCCACGTGTGGCTTTGCCCACGCACAATTCAACGTGTCCGTCAGCACGCGGCTTGGGACAAAGGCTGTTTGTGACAGGTTTGTTTCTGTGCAGCCCCTGGGCACTCCGGGGCAGGAAGGGCTCTCAGCCATCCCTGTTCCCTCCTCAGGTGTCTACGTGCAGGAGATGGCGGATGCCGGCACAGCCAAGCTCTACGCGGGGCTCCTGGGCGTGGGGGACGAGATCCTGCAGGTCAACGGCGCGGCCGTCTCGGGGCTGGGGCTGGCCCGCATCCGCCAGCTGCTGCTCCAGGCGGACACCCTGGCCCTGCGCGTGCTCCGGCACCGCCCCGCGCCATGGTAGCCCTGGCACGGCTCCTGCGAAGCCTGCAGGGAGCAGGAGGCTGTCCCAGTGATGGGAGAAGGACGATGTCCCGGTCATGTCCCAGGATGGCGTGGCATGGACCAAGCTGCCTCACAGTGCCAGGACCTGCCCGGCTCCGCAACAGTGAGGGCAGGTGGCTCTCCTTGTCCCCCTAGGACAGAGTGCGGGACAAAGGACACCCCAGAATCTCTAGGAGCTGCCTAAGTGTGGGGGACAGGGGACAGCCTGGCCCAAACAGAGCTGGGTGGGTCTGTCCTGCTGGGCATGACCAGCATGGGGACACCCCATCTGTGACCCCAGGAGACAGAGGGCTTCCTGCCAGCACTGCCACCTTGTGCTGGAGGGCTGGTGAGGTTCTTTTAAATTATTTCAAACTGAAAAATACATCTCTGCAATAACAAAACAATGCCCTTGGCTTGTGGCATGGAGGGGCTGGGGTGGTTCTTGTGGCCCTGGGGCCTTTGCTTCTTGTTTTCTCATGGCCCTGCTGCTCCACCAGCCACCTCCTGACCATGCTGGGGGGGCCCTGGGCAGGCAGACTGGGGGCTCAGCCACCTGCAGGGCTCCTTGGTGATTTTTTGGGGTTCTTTTTTCCAGCCATGGAAGGCAAAACACGTCCTTGGAATGACTGTCTCCAACAGCAGTGGCATGGCAGCAATGGCTGCCCTCTGCACAGTGGTGCCCCACATCTGGGTACAGCTGTCTGCAGCAACCTCACACCTGGGCACAGCTGCCCACAATGCTGAGGTGACCCCAGAAACTGCAGATGCTGCAGTTTTTATGCCTCAAAAACCAGGAAGGTGATGCCTGGCAAGTGCTGGGGGGAGAGCTCTTCCCACTCCCTGGTGCCAGCAGACCCTGAGCTTGTCCCGGGAGCAAGAGTCAGGCAAGAAGGAGCGGAAATCTACGCTGCTGCACCTTTATTTAGTGTTAAAGGGAGGGGCACCACCAGCGACAGAAAAGCAAATGTACATGGGGAAAGGGAGCAGAGACACTCGGGTGGCTTGTGGTGATGTCAGCAGCTGGGCCACCCTCTGGACTACCAAAGGAGCAGTCCTGCATGGGAATCGTTCCCGAAGGATGCACAACCACGCTGCAAGTAACGCGGGGATCAGAGGTGTGCAAACACCGGCAGCGAGCCCCGCTCCCTGCCCAGACCCGCGCTCCTGGGAACCTGCTCTTGGAGAGGTACAGACCCACGGAGTGGCGCGGACACCGCTACAGTCAGCCTTGGAAAGCCAACACCACCCATCCCTGCAGGGATGCTCTGCAAGGATAAGGAGCTACTCGAATCACGAGTGCGGGTGGGCGCCGAGGCACCACGTGTGCGTTACTGACGAGCACCCGGGCGGGCGGGGAGGCTCCGTCCAGCCCCGCCCGGCTGCGGAAGGCACGGAGCCGCCGGCTGAGCATCCAGCATCTGCGGGAGGGACAGGGGGCCACGCAGATCTCGCAGGGAGCCACGAAGCCAGGGGGAGGAGTGTTCAGTCCCGGAGGTAAAGCCGTCCGGTGGCAAGATTCTAAGGCGGGCAGGGGGGGGAGGATGATTTTGGGGGTGATTTGCAATTTCAGCAGAAGTCTTTGCGTCAGCGCCAATTAACTTCCTCCCCCAGCCCCATCTGGGAGCCATAAGCCAGCCTGTGCTGAGTCTTTTCATGTTTGCAACTTAAAATATGGGAGCAGACTGGAGTAAGAAACCGTTTTTGCTTTCCTCAAGAGTCACCCCCTATCCCACAGTCAGTGCTTGCAGCACGGCCCCTCTGCCTCTTCCTCAGCAGTGACACTCCCAGGTGAGCTTTTTTCACCACAGATTTGGTACTGCCCATCTGGCCACTCCACATTCCCTGTAGGGAATCCGACACTGCTGAGACAAACAACTGGGAGGTAACGAAAGGACTGGGAAGGAATACACCAACATGATCTAGCTATGAATCTCCTGCCTTTTGGTTGCTTACAACAGAGGTGTCCAAAAAATAGGGGTTGGGAAAAATTAAGACATCCTATTTACAAGTTCATATACACTTAAAATACATCACCGAGCACTGTTCCTCTGATCCTGTGTGTTGTGCACCCACAGAGAGAACATGGCTCTAATGCTCATCAAAAAAATCTTTAAAGTTTTTTTTTTTCTTAAAAAAAATAAGTTATTTTAGGCCTGACAAATCACTTGCCAAAGGGAAGCAGCTGTTAAACAGAAGCAGTGACTCAGTTATACAAGGGCAAAGAAAGCATCAGTCAATGAGCTTTAGAGGCCTGTATAATGAGGGAGGCAAGTTCAAAAGCTTCAAGACTCTTCCTCTCTGGCTCACGGCTGATTGCCAGCGTTCGGTGTGCAGCACCCCAGGGTTGAAGCTCTGGGGTGTCTGACGGGGCCTGGGTGGCTGATGGCAGGACACAAAACCCTACAGCTCTGCCCTCTGCCCACTGCAGAGGGTAGGAAAGCTCTGGTAGGACTCACCATGCTCTCTCTTGGCAGTGAATTGGTGCTATAGAGCCTGCCCACAGAAGGCAGGGAGGGGCAGGGGGAGCAGGGCCAGGGCTCCCCTCGCTGGCCGTAGCTCGGAGGGTTTCACCCTTCCCAGTAATGCTTGGGGCTGGCACTGGCAATGCAGTTTGTAATGCTCAGTGAATTCAGTAATTCCTCCCCAGGGCTCGCTGCTCTGTGTCCACCTCCCAGCGGCTCCTACCTGCACCGCGTGGAAGCGCGGGGGTCGGGTCCCCCTCCAGCTCCGTGGGTGCAGACCCGGAGCCCGGGTCCAGAGTGCACCGCAGCAGGGGAGGAGGCGGCTCCAGCCCTCCACCCCCTCGCCCCGGGGCCAGGGGAGATGCCGGCGCAGCCGAGCCGCAGTCCTTGGAGGAGGATGGTGAGAGCTGGGGATCTCTGTGGGCGGACGGAAACGGGGAGAGTTTCATTTCCCCGCGCTGCCGGGGCGAGGGGGCGGGGAGGGGGCGTCCCAGGAAGTTCAGTTTTTGTCATCACAGGACAAAAAACAGGATGAGCACCACTAGTAAGATGACGAAGAGGACAACAATTGCACACCACTGCCGTCGATCTGGAAAGAAAAGGAAGCATCAGTCTTCCTGCTTTAGTGCAGAAGGAATACTGGGGGATCATTTTTCTTCATGTACTCTTAGGAACTAAATTCAAGCTTAAGCCACAAAAAGCCAGAACGACAGTTCCTGTGGGAGAAAGGCTGTGGTACTGTATATTGCAGTGAGGCATTCTCCTCCAGGATACATTGGGGTTTGGGAACAGCTGTGGGAATTCTGAGGCTTCTGCCCAACCAAGTTCAAACAGCTTTGAAAAGCTGGCTCAAAAGCAGTTGGGAGGAACAAGCAGAGAGCTGCTGTGTTTGCTGTTCATTCATGGAGTTAAGTGTTTGCCAAAGAAACAAGAAGGGATCCTGTGAAAGCTGCCCTGAGGAACTCTGCCAGGAAGAGATTGTGGCGGCTTCCCTTAGGACAGGGCCAGGAATCAGGTTTCCCTGGACATCTTTACACCTCGTTGGCTCAACACCACATCACCTCTGAGTGAGGATGATGCAGCAGTGGGGACAGGGCTGCGGGCACCCCAACTCCTAGGCACAGCACTACCCCAGAAAAAGCCCTCCTGCTCTCCCTGGCATAGGTGATTCCAGCAGAAATGCTTTCACAGCACTCAGAAACACTGCAGAAATCCATGGGTTTTCCCAGAGGAAAGGGCAGAGACACGGTTCACCCATGGATGTGCTGCTGCTGAGCTACTGGTGACCCCAAGTGCACTGTCAGCACTCCAAGAGGTCTCTCTAGGGCTGTATTCCCACTATCTCATAAATCCCTCGGACAGCCTAATCCAGCAGAGTGGGAATGCTTTTCCTCCTGACAGGCTGCTGCCTTCCCAAGGTCCTGAGCACCCAGGGGAGAGGGGTGCTGGAGGAGGTGCTGGCCACGCACAGTGCCACGCGGAGACAGCTGGCACCACAGGACTTCCCAGCAGCCAGGCTGGGCTTCCTGTTTGCTCTGCCCACAGCCTTATAAGGACTTTTTTGTGGGTTCAGCACAGAATTCAGCTCTTTCCTCTACCAACTGAGAGAGATGTGACCAACAACAGGCCTGCAGGCGCCAGCAGCCCCAGGGCAGGTGGGATTTGGGAAGGGGATTGCCGCAGGCATTCTGGTTCAGGGAAGCCACACACGGCTGCCGGTGTTTAATGACACCTTGGCAGCTTTAGTTCCACAGGCAGCCTGGGAAACTGCAGCAGAGCAGGAGGCTGCAGAGCTCCCCCTCCCACCAGCTAGAGGGGGATTTTCCCAGCAGTAGCAGCATAAATAGAAAGGCATCTGTAAATAAAACAAAGGCAAGGGACAGGCAGCAGAGCAGTGTCTGGGCAGGAGCAGCTGCCGGGCTTGGAAGCCTTCTGCCTTCTTCTCTCAAGAACTGAGAGCTGCTCCCTCCCCTTGGTGGGGTGGGTTGGGAGCACAGTGTCCCAGCCTGAAGATCCAAGGGCTTGTCTCTCCCTTTCCAGGACTGGATCCCACTTCCCAGGACCTACCACTCGTCATGTGAGACACTTTGGCGAGTTTCTTCATGACGTTATCAAGGCGCGACTGAGTGCTGTCTAACTCGTGGGAGAAGTCATCCAGCATCCTGAGAACACAGAAGTGGGGCACTGGTCAGCACGTGGCACATCCCTTGGGGGTTCTGCTCACACACGTGGATCAAAACACTGATGTGAGCAGAGTGTCACACCTTGGCAGCCAAAATGAATGTGGCCTCCTCTCCTCTCCTGGAAGCATCCAAGGGAGGGGAGAAAACCTGCTGAAACAGAAACTCTGCTTTGGTGGGAAGTAACTTGGGATTCCTGCCAGGCTGATCCTCCCTGTGTGTTTGTGGCTGAACTCTACACACATCTGCAAGGTGAGGAGAGGGGGGGCGTGGGCTTCCTCCTTACAAATGGAAAGTCTCATTTATAATCTGTGATTAGCAGACTGGTTAGATCTACGTCAGCCTGGACTTTAAATCTCTTCTCTTGTTCAGGGCTTGCAGTATAAAATCTTGTTTCAGTCATGGATCAAGTGGGAATGAGATCTGCAGTTGCTTTTAAGGTGCTTTTCAAGCTCTGCATGGAAGTTACCCTTTTACTTCCTCCACACAATGACTGTAATGAATCTGAAAGCCTTCCTGAATCCATGCTTTGTCAATGCCAGTGCGCATCCAGAGTCAAGGTACCAATCCAATTGTCTCCAGCCAGTGGGACTTCAAAGCTTAATGCATTTAAAAGGATAGACTTCTTCATTTGGAGTGCCAGGGCACTTGTTAAACCTTCATTCAGTGGGGAAAACCTCACTGTGGTAGTTACGAGCTAATCCAGCAAGCACTGATGGCTTGTGTGATGATCTAGAAACAGACACGCCACACCAATTTCCTCTGTGAGAGCAGATGATTTTCATGCTGCATAACTTCACACAGGAGGCAGGTTGAAAGTTCCTCCTCTCCATCAAAGATGAAATCACTTCACAATGGACATGGGCCTCCAGACTCCTACCAGCCAGACAAGGAGGGGGTTTTAGCCATGAACCCTTCAAGCCTTTCTGGAAGCATAGCTGTTAGCCTGCACAACTGGGAACTTGTTTGCAAAGGACAAGAACTGGGAAAGAAATCTAATTTATATGTAAATGGATGGATGCAAAATGACTTTGCGAGCTGCCCTTTAACCCTTTGCGTGGGTGAGGGTTATTTTTAACCTCAGTGATGAAGAGCAGCTCTGTGCTGTTTCAGAGCTGAGAGCTCCTGGCCCCAGCAGCAGTCCAGGGGCAGCACAAAACCCTGTAGAGGGGAGAAGTGGCCAGTATCTACATTGCACAGCACCTCCTTCCCTCATCTGCTGGCTGCCTGAGGGGAAGCATGTGAAAAGCAGAGGAGGAAAGGTAAGGTGGCAGTTAAACCTGCCCTAGATGAAGGCTTCTAAAGGAAAGAGGTTGCAGTTGGATCCTTGCAGACTGCAGTACAAAATGCTTTCCACAGGCTGTCAGGGAGAGGCTGCCTGAGGGACCAGTGAAAATTCCAGGCTGTACCAGAGGCTGAGATAGGTGTGTGAGGACATACAGCCATGTTGCAGCCAGCTCCATGCCAGGTTTTTGCCACATGTCTCACACTTACACTGCTTGCTCTTCCAGCTCCCCGCCAATGCGCTGGGACATGTTCTTCAGCACCCCGATGCTGCCAGAGACCAGCTCCAACTGCTCATCCTGCTGCTCCACAATCAGCTGGGGCCAAAGAGAAGGGAAACGGGCAATTACAGATCTGCTGCCTGTAGCTGGGTTGGAGCCAGCCCAGCCAGTGGACAGGCACTTGCTGCTCAGCCAGCATCAGCTGTAAGGCCTGGGCTCAGACCTAAGCCACCAGGAATGAGGTCTGCATTCCTAAGAAACGCTGGAGAGGAGACAGCCAAGGGAAAGCCTCCACGGCACGGTGTCCCCGTGGCACAGCAGGCTGCAGCCTCCTGACATCCCTGTAAATCCAGCCTGAGGTCATCCACGCTACACACACAGCTGAAGTGACTTCAGAAAGCTCCAAGAGCTGGTCATCTAAACCCTTGGCAAGGTAAGCAGGCCAGGGATGCTGTGTCTGGGAAATGCCACCTGGAATGTGCTGCAGCTAACACAGGGTTAATGCAAGCAGAAGGCTGTTGCAGCTTCTACAGCTAAAAATAGCCAGCCTGGCTCTGAATGTGCCAAAGGAGTAAGTCTCCTGCTGTTTTAAGTCATTTTCAGGACACAGTCACGCTAAGGATTAGCTTTACCCTAGTTACCTATTTCTGAAGCTATTTATCTCCCTGGAGTCAGTAGGTAAAACGTGTCTGGAAGCCGAGGTGGCACCATGGGTCAGGAGCTTTAGCAGAGTTTGCCATCTCAGAGTCACTGCCTGTGTCAAGGCCCTGTAGTTCTCCAGTCTGTGCCTGGCCTGGGCACTTCTCCAGGCAAACTCCCCTGTCAGCTGGGAAGTGCAGCTGGGAAGTGCCTCACCAGGGGTTCTCCCAAACCCTCTCACAGCCTTTCTCACTAATCTCACGGTGACAAAAGCAGGAAAAGGAAGCAGGCGCGTGCTCCTGCTCCCAGCCTGTTCTGATGGGAGATGAACACAAACAACACTGAACATTTTTTAACCAGGGGAAGTTGCATAAGACAAACGGGCCCTTTTCTTTTTGCAGTGTTTTTACTCTTCCAAGGGTTTCAGCAATCCTTGTACTATTAAATCTTAGTGTGCTACATCTTCCAGATTGTTCCGACCGCGTCCTAAACTCAGCAGAAGCCCCACACCTCCAGGGTTAAAAACTTTGTGTCAGATCACCCAAAGCTGTGCAGCACAGGAAATGCATGCACAAACACATGCCACAAGAGAAGAGGAGGAATGTCAGGCTCCTGGAGCCAGTCCCCCTGGCACCCATTTGGCAAGCAAAGCTATTTAGTCTGTGATGCCAGCTGCCTTACCTGTTGTTGAGCTTGCTGCTCCTCGATGAAATGTGAATTTGCTAATTGCAGCTCCCGGTCCAGACGGCTGTATTTGTCAGGTCCAGAGCTCCAACTCTGACTCCCACTCTCTCCTAGGAGTGCCTAAACAGATGCAGAGAGCTCTTAGCAACACCCTCGTGTCTGCTCACAGCCCGTCTACAGGGTGAGGTGGGAAGGCACGCAAGGCAACCCTCGTGTAGACATGCACACAGCATCCCTTTCCTTCTGCTCTGCTGCTACTCAGCCAAAGTGCTGTCATGAACTAAACCAACACAGAGCCAAAATGCCAGCCTGGGAAGTCTCTGCAGCCTGGAATTGCAGAGATACCTCTCCAGCAGCAGGAGAGCTGGAGTGTGGCTGACTGACAGTGCGTGCAGGAGGCCCGTACAGCACAAAGGGCTGGCAGAGGCCTGCTCAAGAGGCAGCACAGTGTGCTAGGACACGTGAGCTGGGAAATGTCCGGATATATTGTGTTAACAGATGTACAGCTCCAACTGAGCACTCTGCTGCTAATGACAGGGGCTTAAGAGGGTCTGGATAAAGTACTTAACTAGTTGAGCTGACAGTAAAATAATGCAATATATAACCAGAGCAGTGCTGTATGCTTATGTTCTATAATCCAGGCTCTTCAGCTGCCAGCATACAAAGTTACCCTCGCTGCCTGCCCTACAACCTGAACAGAGAAACTTGTGCAAAGCCTGCACAGATGTGGCTTTCCAGCCAAGCATGTCTGGTTCCTGAAAGGGGAATAACCCAAGCTGGAGAATAAATATGACCTGCAGGTAAGAAACTGAATGCTGCAATCCTAGGGAAGGGTTAGGGACTCTGCCTTCCAGTGAAGAAGCCAGGCTGTCTTGTAACGAGACCATCCTGCAGCTCCTGGCTGTGGGCAGGATGGAATGACTGAGTATTTGTGAAGAACAGCAAGACAATGACCAGGCTGCAAACAAGATGGTCTCTATGGTTCATCTGACTTTTAAGGTTCAAGGAGGGGTGAGGAAAGCTGACAGACTGACCATGCAGGAAGAAGCCAGCAGGACATCTGGCTTTGTCTGCCCCTGAGACACTGAGCAAGCTCCTGATCCCTCCAGTTTGTGGCAAAGGCAGCTCCTTTTTATTTAATGCAGTGCACTAGCTTTGCCTGCAGCTTCAATAGAAAGGGCCTGTTGGCCAGGCTGGGCTGTGAGGGTCAGGTCACTGCTAGCCAGCCCCTCAAACACAAAGCCCAGCACTTGCAGTCTGGAATGAAGGCGAGGGGCTGGGAAGGGAGAGGAAGGCAGCAAGGGGAAGTCAGTTTTCCTGACCAGATGTCACTGTGTGAGCTGGGCCATATGGTCTCCTGCAGCTATCAGGAACCTCATGCAAAAGAAAGCAGCAAATTGCAGGGAAAGCTACAGACTTGTTTAAGCATGAGTGTCAGGGACTTTGCTGCTGGGAGTGTTCCCCAAGCACGTCAATTAACCCTGTGACAAGCTCAGGAATGAGCTCTGTGCTTCTCAGTTTGTTGTTTTTTTGCCACGTGTGGTAAGGCTGATGCAGTACAGACAATTAACTGTATGAAGCACTTTTACTGGAGTGGGTCTGGAAGTCAGCTCCAGGATCTCCTTACAGCCTCCCCATCAGCCAGGAAGGAGCACAAGCTGCATCTATTTCTATTCCTTAGATTACAAGTGCAGACAACATGAGACTCCTCGAGCTCCTTCAATCTTCTTACATGGCTATTACGAGAAGCAGCTGCATGAAAGGATATTGCACCATCTTGGCTCCTAAATCCAGCAGAGCGCAGGATTACATTCATTGACATGGATTCTGAGCTGGTTCCCCCCTCGAGGAGGAGGAGGAGGAGGAGGGAGATTTCCCTTTCCATGGCATGATGCAATGCTGACAGTTGTACACAACCAGCTCTGAAGACAGAGACAGATGGTGAATGCTGACTTACTGCTCTGAGTGACAGGCTTGGGAGAGGCTGGCAGCAATGTGCCTGTGAGAACCAGCTTTCCCAGAGCAGCCAAATGGACGCGGCTCAAACACAGCTTGGCTGCAGCGTGCGAGCCCCTTCCCACACCAAAGGTTTGTAAGGGGATGGACTCCAGACAGGATATACACTTTAGCAGATGTACATGGTTCTGGTTCTCACCTGCCTGTTTTTTCTTTCAGCCAGTGCTTGCATGGAAGAATTTGACATCTGATCCTTCATGTCCTGTTTGTTCAACAAAAGAAGCAGCATGTGAGCATTGGATTTGAGGTGACAGGCAGATTCAGGTGCTACAGGGCTGTCTACACCCACCAAGGCTTCCACAAGGGGGAATGAGGGAAGGGATATTTTCTTTCAGAGTCTGGAAACACACTGTAGGAAGTTTCATTGTTATACTAATACTGGAATCAACAGCATTGGGATATTTTGAAAATATTCTTCATTTACTACTCATTTTGCTCCACTACAACCACAACTACTTTGATTTGTATAATAAACTCATGTTCCCACTGACAGAATGTAAGGAAGTGTTTATCAAGGCCCTGAAGCCTATAACCTCCTGTGATTTATTCCCAACTGCATCTGCTTTAATACTCTGTAGTACGAGGTAGATTTCCTGTTCTGTGGCCATCTTCTCTGACTGTATCAGAGAAGATATCTTCTCTCCTACCAATTAATTTTTTCTGTGGAGTTCCTGCAGAAGGTCACTAACCACAGAAGGCTCTCCATCACAATGTAACATAACCTAGTTCTCATAAATTAGCAAGTAGTCAACGTCACCTTGCAGAGGCTGATCCACCAGCAAAGTTCTGATGCCATCAGAGCATTCATGCGTGTGTTTTACCATTCAGAGATGTGCCACCCATCACCAAAGGGCACCACCACATCCCTCCTGGTTAATTCTCACTGGCTGCAGGGCATCACTAATTCCCCTGTGGAAACTGGAAATCAGCTGCACAGGGCCGCTTATAAATTTCATTTCCCAGTGGGAGACACTGCTCTAAAACCCACTAGCCAGCATTTTTCCAGCCAGGAAAAGAGGACCAGAGAGCAGGCTTGCCTGATCCTGCCCATTAGGGAGTGGACTACACTGAGGGCAAGGCAGCAAACATATGCCTGCTACCTGGGGCCAGAGTGGTTTTGGGATCAGTTCCCAGGGCAGCAAGCCTTAGGAACTGTATCCAGACCACAGGACTGCAGGTAGGGTAACAGGCTTGCTGCCAGCCACACCAGTGCATTCTGTGGAGCAGGAACATCAGAGTCATAAGGGGCAGCAGAAATTCAGTGTAACTATTAATAGACAGAAAACTTCCTAACCAGTAGTTTGTTACCAGGCACTGAAGCTTTTGGAAAGATGTTTCTTCTCTATTTGTTACCACCAAGTTGTTAAAATCCCCTTTTTGCTTCTCAAGCGTAAGCTTAAACTAAAAAAAAAAAAAAATCTTCCTCAAGTTAAAAATAAATCCAGTGGTTTGTCTGGACTATTTTGCAGGGGTAGGGGGTTGAAGTCACCATGTCAATGACACCAGGCTTTAACCATCTGTCAGTGTTCAAAGTGGTCTCCCTGTTCCTGAAAACCAGACATTCACGATTTCCCTCAGCCCTGAAGGGAGGCTCCACATCGCAGCTGGGTCTTCACTCTTCCTCCCATTACCACAGGCTCCCAGCTCGCTGTTGCCACAGCAGTGTCAAGAGTTCCAGGGTCAGCAGCATAAAAGGAGGGAATTCCACGGGGCACCTGCACCCCCAAACTTTTCTGGGCAGCTCCAGGAGGGAACGCACGGGGAAGCCTGAGACTCAACAGGTAGGAGGTTTATTCTCTGCTCTCCAGTCCAGCACAGAACAGCCCCAAGCTTTCCTTTTTTAACCACCTAATGCCCCCCACACCTTCTCCAGGCCCTGAGCCCAAGGGCAGGTTCCTTACCCTGACCACCTGCCGTGTGCTGGTGATGAAGGCTTTGCGGATCCCCAGCTCCGTGGCATCGAGGTTGAATTTCCGCGGGTTTGCCTCAACAATGCCTGGGCACCGAGTCAAGGAGTCCCCAGAAGCGGTGTTGGGTACACACACACACATGGACACACAAACCCTGAGCGTGCCAAGTGGCCACTGTGTTGTGCCTGTTCCCAAATTCTGATTAGCAAAGTACAGCACACTGGATGGAAAAGGAGGCATGGCAGGAATGCGCCGTGCAGCGCACGCGCAAGGTTTCTCTTTTCCGTGTTTTTTTTTGGTTCTGTGATGCTGCACAGCGTTTTCAGGAGCACTCAGAGGAACATAAGGGAAAAGGAATATTTCTGGAAGCCAGCCTAGAGAACAAACTGACTCCACAGAAATCCAGATTCACACAACACAATAGGCTTTCTAGAACAAAGCGTCTTAGAATATACCTTGCAAAAAGGGAAACAAAAATCCTTAACTTAATTTTTCATCTGCAATTTGAGAAAAGCTGATGTGAATCCAAAATTCAATCCCAAACAGTCCTGATTTTTGCAAAGAGTGATTAGGACTTGGCTATTCAGTACAACTTGGGAACTGCAACTACAAAAAGGATATTAATGGTTTCATCCAAGTCTTCCAGGTCCCACTCGATGCTCCGCAGGTTGTTCCTGAGCTCATTAGTGGTCCAGTCGATCTCTTCTCTTGTGGCGATGGAGGGATCTTGCAAGAGCTCAGTCCACCTCTGGAAGAGCCCCTGGGCAGTGTTCACGGCTTTCTGCACCTCCCTGCAGCCGGCAGGAGAGTGAAAAGAAGCCATGAATTACCATCAGCTGCCCTGCAGCAGTGACACTGGGACAGCCCCGTGTCCAGCTGAGCAGGGATGCCACAGATTCCTCACAAACATCCTTCCTTCCAACTCTTTGTTTATTTTGTAAAATAAGGATTTACCCTGTACCTTGCTGCAGCATGAAGTTACTCATGAAGGGACCTATTTCTTCAGGGGAAGCTGCTGAGTGTCACCCAGGCAAGCCAGGGCAGAGGGTCTGAACAAGGCAGATTTTTGGCAATCCGTGCTTTGCATTCCTCTCTCAACAGTTTTCCTCTCAAGGCCCTTAACTACCTATGTAAGATACCCCAAGGGCACACAGAGTTACAGGAACTGTCCCCACACCACAGCCAGGCAGATTGTTGAGTGCAGAACTGTTTATTTTAATTCAGCATTTAAAAAAATACACAGCCCTGCTACACTGGCTTAGGAAACACAAGTTTTTTCTGCTGCTCTAAGCTCTTTTGGAGATGAGTGCATTCACAGCAGGAAAAGGCATTGCTGACAGCTCTGGTTTGGGGCAAGCAGGTTTGTAAATTTGGGCCACAGACTCTCACTGTAGTTATCTGCATTTACAAACTCTGCAGTCCCAAAATGTGAACTGCTCCCTCAGGTTCACAGGAAGCTGGGATTAGGAAGGGAGATGAGATCAGACTGTGCTGGTGTCCAAGGAGGCCACCATGAGCTTGCACATAGCAGCCAGATGTTTCACCCCTGTGAAGGAAAACGGGGGAGGTCGAGGGCAGATGAACTGAGGTGCCAGGACTGCAGCTCTCTAAATTCCTCAAGGGCCAGAACTCCTCCAATTGCTGTCTAAGCTGCAGTTTCTCAGCACTCTGATGCATGTCCCTCCTCTCCTCACACGCCTACAGCTCCAAGTCTGCCACGCTGAGTGGCCTAAAGTCAGCAGCCTGCACTGAGGATCTGGAAAACTTCATTCCCTCCTCTACTTGCCAGCACAAGTTTTGGTTTTGTTTGTTGTTTGTTGGTTTGTTTTATCTGAGCACACTTGTGGAAGTCCCCAGCAGCAAGAATGTAAAGCAGAGATGGATGTCCTCTGATGGGAGGAGTTACAGTCACCTAAGTTGCTAACAGCAACTCTGGTGGCTACACCACCACCACCAGCCCCTCTGACCTGCCAGGTAATAATTAACTCTGGGAGTGGCAGCACATCCCCTTTCCCCTCCCTGCATGCTGCGGGAACATCTCTGGAAAGTTTGACAGGACGCTTGTTCCCCACCCATGGCGACTCCTACACTTTCCTCTTAGCATGAGTCCAACCTGGTAGAGGGATCCGATTTCCCTGGCTGCACCAATATCCCTTCCCACACTTCCCTGTTCCCACATGGCTCTCCCAAACACCCCACCAGGAGCCCCTCTGCTGCTCCTCACGGCTGTTTCACTGTGACACGAGGCAGAAGACCCCAGCACAAGCTGAAGGTGGCCCCAGGGCAGTGTTCAGTGATTGAGCTGCTTTCACAGAATCACAGAATTGCTGGGGTTGGAAGGCACCTCCGTGGATCACCCAGTCCAAATCCCCTGTCAAGGCACCATCAGCTAGAGCAGGGGACACAGGGATACCTCCAGAGGGGCTGGGAATGTCTCCAACAAACTCCATGACCCCCCCAGGAAGCCTTCTCCAGTGCTCTGCCTCTCTATTGTAAAGAAGTTGTTCCTCACGTTAAGCTGGAACTTCTTGTGTTTTAGTTTATGGCCATTGCTCTGTGTCCTGTTGCTGCAAAGGGTCTGGCACCATCCTCCTGACACCCTTTAGAAATATTTATATGCATTGATGAGATCCTCTGAGTCTTCTCTGGACTAAACAGGCTCAGCTCCTTACCAGAGAGATGCTCCAGACCCCAAATTATCTTTGTGGCCTCCAGCGGACCCTCTCCAGTTGCTCCAACAGAGCTCCTTTCACCCTATTAATGACAATTTTCCTTTGGTCACCTTTAGCTTCTATTTCCCTACGTTCAGGCTCTTCTCTGCAGGCTTCCTCTCATGGCCATTGTTTGTCCCACAGCCTGCTCCCTGCTCCTCTCCGCCTTTCCCCACGGTCACTCCGGCCTCCAGCCGCGAGCCCCCAGCCCCGCTCTGCCCACTGTCCCCAAGGCGCACCTGCAGCCAAGGCCGGGGGGGCCCTCACAGAGCCCGGGGAGGCCCGGCCGCGGCCAGGCACCTGCCCGCCTCACCTCAGCGCCTCCCACGCCGGGCCGCCATCGCCGGACAGGCCCCGGAGCCCTCGCTCAGCCCCTCAGGAGCACGGAGGGGCCTGGCCGCCATTTTCTCCCCCCCCCAGACCCCCGCCCGCTGCTCGCCCCCCGCTCCGCGGGCCTCCCGCTCTGCGGGGCGGCCGTGCCCTCCCTCCTCCGCGCCCGAACGCGGCCCCGGGCGGCTGCGCGTCCCTCTGCCCGTGCCCCGGAGCCCGCCGAGCGCGGCGCTCACCCCTTCACCACGAAGAAGGGGTCCTCCATCGACATGGCGCTGCCGCCGCCTCACGCCACGGCCGCCGCCAGGCCACGCCCCCATCGCCAGGCCACGCCCCCAACAGCGCCCTCCGCCGGCCACGCCCCCGCCGCGCGCCAGGAGGGGGCGTGGCCGGGTGACGTCATGCCAGCATGGCGGCGGCGGGGCGCGCTGAGGGGTCTGGGCGCTGTCCCGGCTCTTCCAGGGAAGCTCGGGCAGCTCTTCCCGCAGCGCTGGGGATCCCGGTGTCCCTCTCACCCGCTGAATCACACGCAGGACGGGTCAGGTCGGAAGGGAGCACGGCGAGTCTCCTGGTGCCACCTCCCTTCTCATCCCAGAGCACATGGCGCAGGGTTGTGTCCAGACGGGTCTGGGATATCTCCAGGGAGGGAGACTCCGCGACCCCTCTGGGCAATCTGTGCCCCTGCCTGGCCACTCGTACAGTGGAAAAGTTCCTTGTTTTCAGGTGGAACTTCCGTCCATGGGTTCCTGCCCCTTGCCTCCCATGTCCTGGTGGTTGGCACCACCGAGCAGAGTGTGGCTCCATCTTCTTGGCACCCCTTCTTTAGAGCCCACAGCGCTCCAAATGTGGTCTCACCTGGGCTGAACAGAGATGCAGGATCGCCCACCCCAATGCCCTGCTCTCAGCAGCCCTATGATGACAGGGGTGGTTACATCTTCCCCTGTAATGCCTTCCCACGATGGCCCACGGTGCTCAGCACCACTGTGCCACCAGCAAGACCATGCAGAAGGTGGTGTATGTTCCATTCCTTGTGTTACGTGGATTCAAGATACTAATTTGTTATTTTAGAGAACTAAAAGCAGCCTCCTCAGTGAAGAGAGGAAGTGAGGTAAGGAGTTCAAGCACCATTTCCTCACACACCTGCAGTTAGCAGCAGCATTGCTCACGTCAGACTCTTCTGTGTGGAAGAAATTTTGTGCTTTATACCCCATGACAGTAAACTCTTGCCTTCTCACAGGATTTGCAGTCTTTAAAACCTCATATAAAGCAGCCAGCCGGCCTCCCATGACCCGGATTCCTGGACTGAAACACAAAGCTGGGTGCTGTGGGGCTGTGTCCCTGCCACAGGAGCGGCTCAGGCAGGCAGAGTTCCCAGCCGGAGTGGGAGGAAGCAGGAGGGAGCGACAGGCAGTCTGCTTGGCTCCTGCTGCCCTTCCTGCCCCGGCAAGGCACAGGCACTGCTTCCTTCCTCCTGCCTTGTGTGGGGTGAGAACAGCTCTGTGTGCCTTGGATGTTGTCCATTCCCGGCTGAGGATCCCTTCTGCCCTCATTCCCACCTCTCTTAAATCTCTGGGCTCTTTAGTAGCTGAGCACAGGTAGCCCTGGGCTTGCAGCAGCTGGCAGGAGGGGGATGATGCTTGCAGAGCTTCGGGAAAGCAGCAGAGGGACGTCCCTGCCTCTCTCCCACCTGAGTTGATTTTGCAGAGGCTTGGCCAGGAGGAATCCCCCAAATTTGAACCAAAGAGCACATCCTGGCCTGCGCTTCCCAAAGGTGGCAGTGGTCCAGCATCCTGAGCAGAGGCAGGGAAGGGGAACAAACCCCATCTGCAGAGCTGCCTCCTCAGCATGGGAATGGGATACCCGGCTTTTGCAATCCCAGCAGCTTTTCTCACACGCACCCTGGGCTGGGAAGGCTGTGGCACACGCTGAACCGGTTTCTGCACTTCTTGGGGTGAGAAATCCACCCCCTGCTCCGGCCAGCCCCACGCCAGGAGTGGAACAACAGGTGGCAGCTTTAGGGCTGGCATTTGCTGGCCCTTCCTTGCTGAATTTGGGATGACTTTCCCACGCCGGCAGGATTTGGGGTGTCCTTGCCAAATGTGTGCTTAGCATGGGAGGTTCCCTCCAGGAACAGAGTTCCAAGGAGTTGCTGGTCCAGTTTGTCTCTCCCTGTTCCACAAAGACCTTGTGCTCCCCAAAAACCTCATGATCCTCCTGTGACTTCCACCTGTGCCTGAAACCTTTGCTGCACTGGGAATGGAAAACATCCTGTAGCCTCATAGAATTACTAGCCAGGAATTTCAGAAATCCTTCAATAAATTCTGTGAACGCTTTATTAATTTGTTTGAATTTTTGTTTATTTATTATTTTTTACAGAATCATTTAGGTTGGAAAATACCTAAGAGCGTTGAGTCCATTTGCAAGAAAGTGTAAAGCTTCAGAGAGCCATTGAGGGCTGAAAATAAAGAGTTTTACCAAAATCTAGGGAAGTCGTAAACTTTCAAGGTATAAAAGAGACAGCCTGGTTTTGATGCTAGAAATTAATTGAAGTAGTAAATAATTTAGATTTTCACCTGAAAGACACTCCAACCATGCTGCAGTTTGTATTTTTTTAGAACAAGGTTGTTTTTTGCTGTTCCATATGGGAAGCTCTAATTTGGGGCTTGGAGGCAGCGAGGAATTTTTTGGGAGTTCTTCAGTGTGCTCAGCTAAGCGATTCCCGCTGGGAGAGGAGCGCTGGGTGCAGAGCACACAGCTGCAGAACTGGTCAGGAAAGATCTGATGAAACATTTCTGCACTGTGAAAAGTGCCAACTCATCAGAATCCCAGCTGTCTACAGGGAAGAGCTGAGCTCCCTGGAACTTTTATCAGGAAAATCTTCTTGGCATGTGTCTACATGCACGGGGGTGTGTGTGATTCCTACTAGCCTGGTGCAAAGAATGTGCATTTGGTGTGCAAGAAGTGCCTTTTCTTCTCAGGGAAAAGCTGGATTGGTTTGAGTTTGGATTTATAAAAGCAGAGGGGACTTTCCCCTCCCCACCCCTGAAAAGGTTTTACAGCTAAATGAAGAAGCCCGTCAAGGCTTTCAGATGCTTTGGTGGTTTTCCTCCTCATTTTCATTTTTAGTGATAGTTGAAAATTTTCAGTGGTGGTTTTAAGAGGATTAAGGCTGGGATGGTGAGACAAAACACTGGTCTGGAGCTAAATATTCCTGTGTTCTGGTGAATGAAATGGGGGAAATGAAATTGAGGAAAGGCAGCATTGCTTTCTGCAGGATGAATCGCTGGGATTGCCTGCCCTGGGATGCTAGGGATGCTGAGATTTTACATAGATCCAAAAGGAGATTGTTAAATTGCAGAAGCAGTGAGGTGCTGGACTGCCAGGGTCCTTGTTATGGGTGAAATAAGAAGGAATTTTCCCAGGCAGCCTCTAAACCCTAAAAACTTCCTCATTATTCCTGTTGGAGCATTCCATGGATGCTCTCCCTGGGCTCCAGGCTCCCCACAAACCACGAGAAGGACAAGGTGGTTGAAGGAAGGGCCTTTCAAGAGGGAAGGGGCAGAGATCAGCGGGAATGGAGGCAGTCAGCGCCTGCTGGCAGGCACAGATGTTTCATTTCGCAGTTTTCCTTGCTGGGAGGAGGGATTTGACACAGAGAGGATCTGCTCTGCCCTTGCAGAGGATCTGCTCTGCCCTTGCTGCTCTCAGTGGTGGCTGCTACTCCGTGGTGTGATTTTCTGGCAAGTCCCAAGGTCCCCGGTGGCCCTGGGGGAGCTGGAAGGAAGCGGGAAGCAGAGCAGGCAGCTCCATGGCTCGGGAGCATCCCTGTGCCACCTCCCCATCCCGCCTAAGCGGGAAGCAGTCGCACCGAGGACACATCTGCACTCGGGGACCGCGGTTGTCATTTGCCCCATGGCTACGAGGAAGGTGACATTGAGATCCAGGGAGAGGGAGGGGGAAAAATAATTAGGCTGAGACTCCTTTGGGCTGACGAAGTGCCCTGCGGATTGCCGAGCTCCGTGAGGAGTTCCGGTGATTAATTGGAGATGTTTAGCCCCAGCCACCGAGGCTGCTGCCTGCTTTAGCTCAGGGTTTGCTGGGGAGAAAATCACTCCAGTGGAAAAACAGGGGCTTTGCATGGCTGCATCCCAGGGCTGTCCTGCTTCTTTATGCCCTGGACACAAGGCAGCCTTTGGAAGTGGCACAGGACCCATTGCAGGCATATCAGAGAAGGAAAAAAACCCATACAGGAAAGTGGACTACAATAGAAGGGTTGTCTGATAGGAAACCCCAGACAAATAAATGCATTTTTTCCCCAGGAAACCCAAACCAGTACCATAACACACTGAAAGATGTGGGCTCACATTTTTTTTCCAAGGGAAACAGCTGCCTGAAGAAGCTGATAGCTGGGATCGGGATTTTTTTTCCACCCCCTCTTTGTGTTTGGAGAGGCTGCTGGAGGAGTAGCAGGATATCTGATGGGCAGGGGGACAGGTCACTGTTCTCCAGGGGAGGAGAGGGAAATCCCAAGCCAGTGGCTCAGAGGGAAGAAAGGGAAATTTTAAATCCTTTGTGTAGGGGGAGAAGGGGGAATCCCAGACCACTGGTGAAAAAGAAAAAAAAAAGTGTAGGAGAGAGTGCTGCCTGCCTGGGACATCAGCATTTTAATCTCTGCCATGGGAAGGGGCTTTTAACACCTTGAAAAACCCCTTTGCTTTCTAGCTACAGGTTCACACCTCACTGCGGTTTTGGGGCGGGTGTCTCAGCGCTCTTAGAAGCCGAGGGAGCTGCTTCCTCTCCTTTGGGTTTAGGTCTCTATCGATTTGTTTGTATTTGTTTCACTTGTGTTTGGCTTCCATTCATCAGCGATTAGCGTCTGGCTCTCTGGGCTGTGTTTTGGGATGTTTCCCAGCTCTTCTGACCTTATCTCCAAGCAAGGATAAAGCACAGCAGTGGGGAACCCTGGGGGATTAGTTACCAATATCCGATTGTGGCAGGTCCAGACCGCATCCATGTGAATCATTGATTTTTCTGGGAAAAACTCAACCCCAGACAACCTTCTTCCTCTTCCTCCTGAGCTCTGCATGGGTGCCTCGCATTTTAGATGTTTATTCCCATCCAGAAATGAACTCAAGCTGTGGATAGATTCCCATTTGGAAATGTTCCTCCCTGTCCTGTTTCGTTTACGTCAGCAATCGCTGGGGATGTGCCTGGATCTCCCTGGAGCTTTGGCTGTCCTCAAGTTCTGTTTTTGCTCCAGGCAGCTGTTGGTGTGAAGGCTTTTGCCTCAGCACCGCTGGTGGTGGGGGGTTTTTGATTGATTTGTTCCCATTCTCCTCTCAGGAAGGCTCTAACTCATGAATCCTGGTCCGAAGAGAGAGGCATCGATGCGGCACCGGGACGGCCGGTGATGGAGGACTTCAGCGTGCTAATTTCACCGTCCATCCTAACCGGAGGGTTTTCCACCTCTTTACTGCATCTGCCTTCCCCCAGGGGCCTGGGCCGCACATTTGGTGACAGCGAGGAGCCGACGGGGAGGGGCTGAGGATGGGGACAGGCGCCGCTGTCGGAACAGGATCTCTCTAACCACATCCTCATCCCGCAGGTCGGGGTGGCCGTGCTGGGAGCCAGATGGCCGGGATGGGGCGGGTCGGGGCTCAGCCAGGCTCGGGAGGCTGCCGAGCATCCCCGGCCGAGACGCGACCGCACGAACCCCCAGCGAGCATCCCGGCGCCGACCTCCTCTGCTCGGCGGCGAGGGCGAATTGAAACGCTTCCAAAAAAGCCGGTGGTGTGTGAGCAGCCCTCTGCGATTATTAGTTGTACCACAAGCTGCTTCCTCCCTCCAGCTGCTTTTATGTCGCATTGTTTTCCTTTCCAGGTGGGCCTCCGGAGCTGCCTCCTCGCCGCCGTGCCGAGGCCACCTTTGTCTGCCAGCCAGCCCGGCCGCCCCCTTCCTCCCCTTCTTCCTCCTCCTCCTCCTCCTCCTCCTCCTGCTGTGCTGTTGCCAGAGCTATTTCGGGAAACAGCAGCTGAGCCGGAGGATTGTTAATTGTTCGTCAAACCCCTTCCAGCCCCGTTGGATCACATGAGGAGATTAGAGCGCCCGGTCACACCCTTTCCCTCCTCCTCCTTCTCCTGTATCCCCCCCTGACCCGCAGGGCTGGGGGGCAATGTCCCTCCCGCGGGCAGAGGGAAGGACAGCGGGTGTATCCAGCTCTCCGGGATGCCAGGCTGTGGGAATCCCGGGAATGCCGAGCCGTGGCGATCCGGAGGTTGCCGGGCTCCCAGGACAGCCCCGGCGGGGTCACCGCCAGCGGGGCCGCTCCGGGAGCGGGCAGGAGCCCAGGGCAAGGCACAAGGAAGGCAGACAAAGCCACCCCGGCCGCTGACCTCAGAAGCTGCCATGTGACTCTGCCTCAAAGTTACTAAAGCATGACATCAGCCTGGGAGGGAGCGGCAGGGCTGCCACCAAAATACTGCCTGGCTTCGACCGGCTGCCGGCGCTGCTCCTGCCCGAGCTGCTGCTCGTCCTCTGCCCTGCATCCCTCCCCAGCCATCACCGCAGCTCTGCAAAGGCAGCCGAGAGCACGCAGATGTCGAGGCAGGGCTTTGGTGCCCTGGGAAGAAGGTGCTGGTGGTTGTGCCTGGCACCTGGCATGGTGCCGGTGGGTGAAACTCGTGGTGCTGGGTACAGGCTCTGCTGCCAGGCGTTCTGCACCTCTGCTCCTCCCTGCTGGTCTGAGAACTAAGAGGGATGAGGGATCACTCAGTCCTCATCCCCATCCTGCTAATCCCTGGCCAGAGCTGGGAGAGGCTGCTGGCCTGCCTATTCCCAGCAGCCAAAAGGCAGTGACTGGAGAGAAATGGTGCCTCATGCCATCGGGGTGAGGTGGTGAGCGGCAGAACAGGTCAGTCTGCTCGCATCCAGGCATCTTCACCCCACAGAGCTCCCACGCTGTGCCTCCTCCACCTGCCTCGGGCTTTTTCCAGCTGGTGTGATGACTTTGCACTGCTGCTTTTTATCCCTGAATTGGGATATGCCCACCTGAGATGTATCAAATCTGACTTTCTGACCCAGGATACCTCTGCTGATGATGCAAGTGCCCAGATCCCGCAAACAGCAGTCTCGGAGCTGGTGATGCATTTTCCAGGGGCACAGCCAGCTCTGTGCCACCGAGGGGACACCGGTGGTGGGCAGACCGGCTGGTGACTGTGATCCCAGGCATGTGAGCCAGACCTGCCCTGGCTGGTTAGGCTGACCCCAGGGCTTAGGACAAGGTGTTGCTGGCCCTCTGAGGTGCGGGGAGCAGGTTTGGCGGGTCTGGAAAGCCTCGGTTCCCACTGCTGGAGCTGGCGTCCCTCCGGCCTCCCACGCCGGGTGTGGAGGGGACAGCCCCGCTCCCTGCGGCCAGGACAGGCTCTCCCTGGTGTGGGCTAAGCTGGGACCTTTTGCCTGTGGGACTTTTAGTCTGTGGGGGAAGCTGGGCCTGGCTGTTTTGGCCGGTGTTTTGGCTGTGTGGCTGAGCATGCCCCGGTCCGGTCACATCAGATGGAGCACGGCAGGTTTGGTGCAGGAGGGGTGGGTGTTTTGAGATGTCAACACCCAGGCTGACATGTTGTTGTGTCCAACACCTAGAGAATGGCATTTGAGGTTTTCCATCTGTGTTTGACCAGAAGGAAAATATAAATTTTTTGGTTGTGGTTTTTTTTTTTTTTTTTTTTTTTAAATTTTTGTTACCTCTGTGAGCAGCCACCCTTTTGGTCCTTCCAGAATGGCAGGACACGATAACAGGTCCTGCCAACAAAACATCGTGACAGCCTGTGGCTTTCCTTTGGGGGACTCTGTGGATTCAGCCCCTGAGAAAAAAGGGATGGAAGCAAGTTGTTATGTGTCAGCTGGGAGTGGAAACTCATACTCTGGGGCAGCATGTTGAACTTCCTTAATTTTAGGCCCTTTCACTTCTTTTCTGCTTGCAAATGGTGGTTAATCCTCGGTGGAAGGAGGCGGGTCGGCACTCCAAGCTCTGAAATGCCCTCCAAGCTTTCCTGGAGGTTTCCCTGGTGCCTGGAGTTGTGTCTGGGGGTGACTGTGTTGTCCCCTGTGTCCCCCAGCCACCTGGCTGATCCTGCCACCAGCTTTCACAACTAGAGCCAAGCGAGGTTTCAGTTCCCAACAAAACAAACAAAGTGCTGCAGTTTGCCACGGTCCCCATCACGCGTGGAGATGCCCCCGTTGTCCTCCCCTGTAGCCCTTCCCAAACCCTGCTGTGGATCCTCCTCTCTGCCCTGGGCTTTCTGTGAGCTTCACTGCCAGACCCCTGGAGCAGAAATCCGCCTGGCAGCTGGGCAAGCACGGCTTTCTGCTCCACGTCAGGGCACATTTTCCTTGAAATCCTCAAAGACACGCTTCGCCCTCCAGCCAACACCACCAGCTCCTTCTCTAACACGATGAGATACCAGAGACAGCGGCTGAAATTACGGGAAACATCTCCAACCTGATAAAACGGAGCCTGCCCTCGGTTTCATTTGCTTTATTCGGCTTTTATTATTTTATTTTCTCCCCGAGGAACGTTCCCGTTGCTTTGGCCAAACCTGCCCACGTGGGGTGCAGCGAAGCGGGGGTGCCTCGGTGGGCCCCACCCCGCGCGGCTCGCTGGCATTGCCGCTTTAAGAGCCGTCTCCGCGGGACGAGCTTTCGAACGCGCTGCCCTGCTCCGCCATTGGCCGGTGCGCGCGCGCGGGGGCCAGCCGGCGGTTGGAGCGGCCGGCGGCGCGCCCTGATTGGCTGAGGCGGGGGCGGTATAAAAGGCGGGCGGGCGCGTGGGCTCTCTCAGTCTGCGGCGCGAAGGGGCGGCGTGAGGAGCTGGGGTGAGGCGCGGGTTTCCTCCCCTCGGCCCGGAGCGTATTTTTTTTTTAATTTAATTTTTTTTTTTTCCTCGCCCTTCGCCCACCGGTTTTTCCCCATGGAGTTCAAGCTGGAGGCTCATCGCATCGTCAGCATCTCACTAGGCAAGATCTACAGCGCGCGGGGCCAGCGCGGCGGCCTGAAGCTGCACAAGAACCTCCTGGTGTCGCTGGTGCTGCGCAGCGCCCGGCAGGTCTACCTGAGCGAGCCGGGCTGCCCTCCCGAGCCGCCCCCTGCGGCCGTCGGCCACCCCGAGGAGGAGCCGCCGCCCCGCACCGCCGCCTGGGCGGCCGAGGAACCGCCGCCGCCCCCGCAGGACGAGGCGGGGAGGGACTGCCAGGGCCCCCGGCCGCGGCGCTGTTGCTGCGGCGAGAACCGCGGGGGTTGCGCCGGGGCCCCCCCGCCGCCGCACTGTCCCCGCAAACGGAGCGCCGGAGAGCGCGGCCAGGCGGGCTCCCCGGTGAAGAAGCCCCGCCGCGAGGAAGAGGAGCCGCCGCCGCTCCCGCCACCACCGCCACCTTCGCCGCCGGGCGAGCAGGAGGACATGGAGACGGGCAACGTGGCCAGCCTCATCAGCATTTTCGGCTCCAGCTTCTCGGGACTGCTCAGCAAGGAGCCCAAGGGCCGGCGGCGGCCGCCTCTGGACGGCGGCGAGGCGGCGGCGGGCACGGCGCCCGCCGAGGCGGCGGAGCCGGGACAGATCTGCTGCGACGAGCCCGTGCTGCGGACCCTCAACCCCTGGAGCACGGCCATCGTGGCCTTCTGATATTCCAGCCGCAGAGACTGGCTCCCCGCCGCGGGCTGGGGGGCCCGGAGGTGACACTCAGCGAGCGCCGCGGGGCTCCGGCGCCGGCCAGACCCGGCGCCCTGCGCCGCAGCACGGCAGGGACCGCGGGGCAGCAGCGGCAGCGCTTGCTCGTTCCCCGCCGGGTCCCGGCTGCCGGCACCCGCCCTAGGAGCGCCCCCGGCCCTGCCCTCCCGGAATTCCCCTTCCCGGCAGAGCCGCCGCCCTCCACGGCGCCCGGGGGAGGCTCCTCGGCTGCCGCCGACCCCGGGGGCGCCCCCGGCGGGTGATATTTTAAGCTTGGAAAGTATTAAGTTTATTAAATAAAGTCTATTTTGGAAAAGTTTAGGTCAGAACTATTACATGGTGCTTTTTAAAAGTGTTTATTGAGAGGAACGAAGTTTACAGACGCTCTGACGGAAAGTCCTTGAGCCTGTTTGTTAGGCTTGGTAACTCCCGGTCTTTGTTGTATAAAGGCTTGGGGCTCCCGTAGGGAATTTTGTACAGTGTTCTCCTTCAGTGATGTATCATGTTTTGTATAAAATGTAATTTCTACGTGTACAACACGTATTAAATATTTTCAACTGTATGAGCCTAGTTCCTGTTTGTGCCCCGCTGGCTCGAGGGGGAGGAGGGCAGGCAGCAGCCGGGGTGTGGTTCTGCATGTCTGTGGCTGGATCCACCCAGCCTCGCCAGAGGCTTGGGGTGGGTTGGAGTCCAGCTCTTCTGGGAGCTGGGGAAGAAAGGGAACTTATGTCAGGGTGCCTGGAGTTCTTCCCAGGATCTTCCAGATGCTCCCGCTGCTCTTCTGGCTACAGCCTCTTCTCGGGGCTGGAGCTGCTGTGGCATTTGAGGTCTTGCTCTGAAAGTACCTAATGTGCAAAGTCACTGTCTGTGGGTGGAAAGAGGTTGCTAAATCCCAGAGGAGCAGCTGGGTGCAGTCTGGCCCGGCCTGTGGCACAGCTGGGCTGAGCACCGGCCTCCGGCATTGCCTGCTTGGAGATCCGGACTGGGGCTGTGTCAGTGGATTTTATCCTGTAAAACACTTTTTTTTTGCTCTGCAAAAAGTGTTTCTGTGCCTCTTCTTTGCTGTTACTTGCAGAATAGTTCAAACGATAAATATCAGGAAGGTTTTTTTTTTTTTTCCTCTTTCATTATCAGTAAAACTGTAACTGGGTTAAAGTTCCTGCTCTTAGGGGTGGGGAGAAAAGTTTGGCCTCAGCTTCACAGTGAGTGGGGTGCCCCAAGGCACCGTAATTATTCTGAATTGTGGGGGATTTTTTTGGGTTTTTTTCCTCTGCTTCTTGCTGGAAGATTCACTAGAGGCTTCTCTGCTCCTAATTAATGAACTTTTCAACTGAGGATTTCATCTCTGTCAAGTCGAGGATGTTTGTGTGCTGTGAAATGCAGCCTGGGAGCTCTGGCTGAACCTTGGGAGCCCGTTTTGGGTGGGGCATGGGAAGTGACCGTGGTTAAAAATCGTGGGGTTTTTAACACCTTGCATCTGGGAACTGCGGGTGTTGGGCTTGGTCATCCCAAAGCAGGGAGAGGGGAGAAATTAGGAGAAACTGCCTGCTCTGTGGTGGCTTCGAGGCAGCTCTGCTGCTTTGTATATAATTTAACAGCTTCTTAGGTAAAAGCAAAAGTCCTACCACCTTAATTTTCGAGGTAATTGCACCTAATGGTGACATAACTTGAGTCTGGTAAATGACACAAGGAAATGGGGTGTGATGAGACATTTCTTTTTATTCACTGACCTTTGGGAGGTGATGGGAATGCACTGTCCCTGCTTCCCTTGTCCAGGTGCACTCCAGGGGAGCCCCACATCCTCACTCCTGTCTCAAGGGAGGTGTGTGATAGCTGCAGCTGCTCTGGCAGAGCCGAGGTCGCCTCAGGATCTCTCCAGTAAAAAAATAGCAGGAGAAGGAGGATGGCTACAGAGGATTACCCCCCCAGCTCTCCTCTCTGTCGTGAAACACTCTCAGGGTCAGAAGCTGAGCTGGAGGATCAGAACAGCCTCCTGCTCCTGCACAGTTTCCTTCCCAAGGCTGGAGGGAGCAGGTTTCAGCCCAGCTCCTTGTCCACCAGCAGCGTCTCCATGGAAGTGGATGATGTTGCCCAGCTTCCAAATCCCAAAATGGGATGGGGACACTCCTGATCTTGGCATTTCCAAAAGTTTTCTGGTCATCCAACCCCTGGAAGGTCACCTGGTCCCACTGACTTGTGGGACACAGGCAAGGTCCAAACTCCCTCAGGCACAGAGCACCCAGCAGCGCCCGTATCTACTCTGTCTCCCAGAGGAGAGTTGTGCAACAGCTTAATCGCTGCTGGCCTCTGCAAACAGGGCAGAGACTGCCCACAGATGCCCATGCAGCTCCCTTGGGCTGCTGTGACCTCCCTGAGGTGAGTTCTCCCTTCCCAGCTCATGGCCAGGGAGCCGTGTCCCCGAAAGCCCCGGGCCAGCTCCATCTGCCGTGCTGACGCACGCCTCGCGTGCTCCCGTGGCTGTGTTTTTACGTGTGGGGTTTGCTCCCTGGGACGTGTCTGTGTGTCCCCAGGGAGCCTCTGGCTGCTGTGGCTGAGGGGGATGGAAAATATTCGTGGAGATGGGATAGCTGCTGGTGAGCTCTGCTGAGGGGTCTGGACCAAACCAGCCTAGAATGGAAAAAGATCCCTAATAATGGCACTGTGTTACTTTTGGAATCAATTTTTCTGCTCTGTTTTATTTTTTAGTCACCTGGTACTCTT